TGTGTGCATTCGCATACACATACGCACACAAGCAAAGCTCCACTTCCCCTGGATGGTGTGTCCTCAAAGGATGGGATTTAAATGGTTTAAGTGCCTTTACTTGTTTTACCTGCAACTGGGTCTCAGGGGAAAAGACTTGATTGATGTATTTGGGCTCTTAATTTCAACAGAACTTTTGTGTATTTGGGTCTTTGAAAGGCAAAACATTAGAAATTTGGATTTTCAGTAGGCAGAACTTTTGGGTCCTTATTATTTAAAATATTGGTGATAGGAAGCATCTTAGTGTATGTAGTCATGATATGCAAGATACTGACACATTTGGGTCTTTAAGCAACAGATCGTTTGTGTGATACCATTTCCTTTTGTGATAACAGAACATTGGTGACTGTCAAGCAGAATATTGGTGTACCAGTATGAGTGGAGAGCTAACCAAGACTGAAGACCACAAAGACTGGGATTAACAGAGAGTGAGCATCTTAAAAACTGGAACAAACCAAGAATGAGAGTCTAAAAGACTTTGACTAACAAAGAATGAAATCTTGAACTACCAAAGATTTGGAATGTTAAACACTGGGATTAGCCAAGACTTAAAATCTTAAAGACTGGGACTAACCAAGAGTGAGAACCTTAAAACTCGGACTACCCAAGACTTGAAAGGTTAAAGACTAAGAACTGATAAGAAATAGAACCTTAACTACTGAGGCTAACCAAGAGGCAGAACTTTAAAGATTGGGACTAAATAAGACATAGAACCTTAAAGATTGGGACTGGCCAATAGTGAGGACCTTAAAACTAGGACTAACCAAGAGGCAGAACCTTAAATACTGGGACTAACCATGACTTTGAACATTAAAGACTGGGCCTAATCAAGAGTGAGAACCTTAAAAACTCAGACTACCCAAGACATAGATCCTTAAAGACTGGGACTAACCAAAAGCGAGACCGTTAAAGACTGGACTTAGCAAGACTCTTAAAGACTGGGACTAACCAAGAATGAAAGCCTTAAAAACTCAGACTAACCAAGATACAGAACCTCACAGACGGAGACTAACCAAGAGTGAGACACTTAAATACTGGTATTAACCAAAACCTTAATCTCAGAACCTTAAAGACTGAGATTAGGCAATAAATGACTAGCTTCTCTCTCCTATAGAAGAGCATAAATCTACTGGAATTGTTGTTGACACACGCACCAAGTAGAAAAATCCAAAAACGTTTCATACATGGAGAATAAATACGCTGATTCTGATCATCTGAAGAATTCATTCATTACAAACCGCAGAAGGTATGATCAACACTGCAGGTCATGCTAAAGGTAACAAGTTTATTCGTGCACAACAGTGCTATCACCACACGCTTGTTTATGTGCGGGCTGGGGCATTCAGAAGGCAGATATGGGAAATGCACTGTTCCATGTGTCTGTCTTGCGTAACACGGGCAGGAGGATGCAGAAGTGCGAGACGGCAGGCACCACTTCGATTCGGGACGGATCCAGAGGGTACAGCTTGGAATCCTGATCAAATTTCATGTGTGGGAAAGATGCTGGCTGAGGGAGAGAGGGAAAGAAGGAGAGAGAGGGAGAAGGAGAGAGAGAGAGAGAGAGAGAGAGATCACTTGTCCAAAACAGTTGTGCAGCTGTGTTCACACAAACAGAGCCATGTGAGAGACACTGTTGGCCTTGGCTGCCCTGAACCCAGAAACTCAAGAAAAAAAAAAAAAGCTGACTGACGTCTTACAACATTCGACAAAACATTGAAAATAGCACACAGAGTTCTTAAAACAGAGCATAAACCTTGATAAAAGCCTTTTTGCTTTATCTGAATTCTAGAGCAAGTGAGAGTAAGAGAGAGAGAGAGAGTGTGTGTGTGTGTGTGTGTGAGAGAGAGAGAGAGAGAGAGAGAGAGAGAGAGCTTGACATTATTATCCGTGGCCACAGATGTTGCTCCCACAGATGTGTTCGGCCCCAGGGCACCGCTGGTCCTCCACCTTCCCAGCATGCCGAGTGCGAATCAAAACTGGCTCGAGTTTTTGTGGCTCTTTGAAATTAAACACGTCCCCAGGAAGCACAGTAAATTATGGAGATTACGGAACAACTTCAGAGCCTCTCTCTCTCTCTATTTTTTTTTTAAAACATGCACACACACACACACACACACTTCTCTCTGTTCTCTAATGTTGAATGCTAATTTTGCTGACTCAACTTTTTTCATTGCCCTGGAATGCACAGGGTGTGTGTTACTGACTGAATCCATATAATGAATCCTTTATCCAGTTTAACACACACAACTGTATCACAATACATACATACATACACACACACTCTTTCACTCCTTCATTCTTTATCATTCTATATCATTTGATAAATGTAACAAATGAGATTTCTGTTTGTAGATCATACATGTAGATCTCTCTCAGCTTGGAGTGTGTGTGAGAGTGCATATTTATATCCAGATATTTTCAAGCTGCCTTCATGTGCAGTGAAATCAGTAAAAAAAAAAAAAAAAAAAAAAAAAAAAGAAGAAGAAACGTGAGCTAATGACGCCCCCTGCTGTATGAAAGATGCACAACATGCTAATTTCTGAAGGGGGAAAAAAAATCTAATCAGGACCCTTCACTTTTACAAACTCTCACATGACTCCCTAGCTCAGATAGAGTGCACTATATCTGTACATTACAGAAATGTTATCTAAAGAAATGCTTCACATTTTCTTCTTTATCTTCTTTAACTCTCTGTCTCACCTTAAATCCTTTCAGTAAATAGAAATACATGACCAAATCTTCAACATCATTGTATTCTTTATTATTATTTAAAAAAAAAAGAATTGTGTAAATAAAATGCCTATTAAAAATGCCTATTATAAAATTTCCTATTTGAATTTCTTCAAAGTTTATTACGAATATATATATAGTCTTATCACTACTTCTAAGGACTACTGAAAGTGATTGTTATAATGACGTAGTTATTACAGATGTCTTATTCATTGGTAACATTTATATTTAATCTAATCTATTTAATACTAAATAGATTAGAAATGGCCAAAAGTATGTGGACACTTCACCAAATCACAGGCACATGTGCTTGTTGAACATCTCATTCCAGATTTATTCCCCCTTTGCTGTTATAATAGGCTCTAATAATGCTGTTATAATAATCTTTCCACTAGATTTTGGAGCGTGGCTGTGGGGATTTGTGTTCATTCAGCTACAAGAGCATTATTGAGATCAGGCGCTGATGTTGGTGAGGAGGTCTGGGGTGCAGTCGGTGTTCCAGTTCATCCCAAAGGTGTTCAGTGGGGTTGAGGTCAGGGCTCTGTGCAGGACACTCGAGTTCTTCCACTCCAACCTTCATACACCATGTCTTCATGGAGCTCACTTTGTGCACAGGGGCATTGTCATGCTGGAGCAGGTTTGGGCCTCTTAGCTCCAGTGAAGGGAAATTGTAACACTACAACATACAAAGACTTTCTATACAATTGTGTGTTTCCAACATTCTGGTAACAGTTTGGGGAAAAACCACATATGGGTGTGATGGTCAGGGGTGCACATACTTTTGGCCATATAGTATATGTATGGGGAGATTTACATAAAATTGGGGGGGGGGGGGGGGGGGGGGGGGATGTACTGTCTCTAATCCTAATCTTAAACATTTACCAAATATAACGCTGTATAAGTTTTATCATACAGTGTATAAATTAGAAGCAG